GGCTGGGGAGAGGGAGGTCTGGGCCTCCCTTCTGAAGCTGCTGCCCCCGCGACCCGACCCCGGATAGGCGGAAGAAAATGGATGGATGGATGATTGTAGAGTTTGTATCAATAAAATCAGTGCTTTATTTTCCTCATAGAGCGACGACAAAATCACTTTATGTTGGCTTCGTTTTGTTTCTGTTTGAAACGGACCTTGTGCTCGTTTGTCTCATTGTTTCTGAGAATTTAGCATTTTTGTTTAAAATACGCTTTCTACAGAACAGGAGCAAAAATAATGTCCTGTCACCCGAATTGGCTCTGATCAAAGCCTTGTGTTTCTTCAAAGGAGCGTGACAGTAGCTGCTGGGTGGTTACAGGCCCTATTTTTTTTATTTGATTTTGCACAGTGTCCACAGCTGCTGTAGCTGCTTATCTCCTCACAGTTTAATCTGCTCAGCCATGATGACCCGCTGTTCACTGCGGGATGGTGGGCAGCAGCGTTGTGCTCCAGTCAAAGCTTCTTTTTTAAGCCGCAAATCTTACAGAGAGCAGACGCAAGACTCTGAAAATCCTCCAAGTCCACCTTCATGGCTGAACGTTCCCAGTTCTCTGATGGCGGCCTCGTCCTCCTGCTTCTTTCACAAACAGGGATGTTACAAAATGTAGATGTTCAAGATATTTTCAAAAGGCTTTTTTATTCATCAGACAAGATTCTACAGATAACTGTAAATGTCTTCCCGCGCTCTCATCATGAGTGCTGCTTTTCTTATGCTTTGAGGGATGGAAATACATAGCTGCATTATTTAGGGATGTTGACATATATCATCGTCAGCGGCTGCCATTTTCCTCCCAGACCTTTGTGACCAGATTGCACAATGCTGCACTGAGGGTGACCTCGCTAATTGCTTCTAGGGCTGGGCGATAATTCGATTTAATCGACTAATTCGAATTAGCCGTTTATAAAATTTAATTTTGGGAAAATAGAGATTTTTTTTCCCCATCAGTGCACTCTTTGGGGGCTTCTGTAGTTCAGAGGTCGCACCACCTGTCTGTCCCTCAAGACGCTTGGTACACAACATGACAATATGGCAGCTAGCAAAGAGGATCTACTTCTCAAAAAGGCACATTTTCTTCAGTTTTCTGGAACTGGTTAGGTTTTACAACCTCAGACTTGGAGCAACAAACACCTCACTGTAAAATCTGTTCGAAGGCTCTTGCCACAAACAGCAGGAGTACAACAAATTTGTTTCGACACCTGAAACAGAGGCACTTCATTAAGTGGGAAGCAAAATCAATTAATTTATTTATCTATCAACACAATTTAAAATTTGATGTATAGCCTGATGTCTGTAATTTTGACTAGGGCTGCCACAAACGATTATTTTAATAATCGATTAATCACCGATTATTTATTCGATTAGTCGACTAATCGGATCATWBDTTAATTGAATATAAAACATACAGCTTATCACGTCAGAATGCAGCTGCTATTATATAACCAT